TGCTTTGGTGGCAGCAGATGCCTGTGGCTGTCACAGTGTGCCCAAGCCAACATGACCCTGCTTGGAGGAGAGTGGTGCTGGGGCTATGGCACTAGCTCCAAGCATGTCTGCAATGCAGGCTCCTCTTGTCCTACAGGGCTGGTTTGAGGCTGGGGAACCCCCCTCCTGCCCAGCCACCCCAAGGGGAGTGTGAATGAGTTCACCCCGCAAGCCCCAGGTTTATGGCACATGCCCCTCGGTAGCCTGCAAGCTCTTCCTGGCAAGCCGTGTGTCTGGCAGGGGACGATACCATGCCGGGCACACGTGACCCATAAACCTGATTGCCCTGGAGAGAGATAATCCCAGGGTTTAACTGCAGTCCCAGGGCGCGGGTTCTGACCTGGCCGGTTCCAGCTGTAACACCCTGGATGCCAGGAATTACTCCCCATTTGTACCTGATGCAGCTCAGCACATAACTGGTTGTACTGGGACCAGCAAGGCGTGGTGGGCATGTGATCTGGAGCCCCAAACCTGTGCAGTTAGCTGGCTGCAGCCTGGTGCAGAGTCATCCCAGCACAAACCGTGTTACACCACATTGGTGGGGGCAGCCGTGTGTCTGCATCTATCCCAGGGCAGCCTGGGGTTGCAAACAGACTAATGCTGGCTCCCCTGCCACCTCGTGGGGCCCAGGGAGAGCCGGCCGTCTGTCTGCTCCAGTCGCAGTGCACCTCACACGTGCGTGCAAAGCCTCCTCTGGAGCTAACTGTTGTGCTGTCCAGTCTAGAGGTAGATGTAACGGGACTGCCCTCTGCCCCAGCCACCTCTGCCAGAGCATGGGCAGGCGTCTCCCGGGGAAGAAGAGGGTCAGCAGTGCCCGCCTTGAGGCTTCCTTCCATCCTTTCCAAGGGAACAGGGGCAGGATTTATACGTGGTGTCTCTAAACCTCAGCCTGGGAGCACAAACCCAGCTGGAGCTCCTTCTCTCTGGGTCTCAGACAGGAGCAGGATGTATCAGTGCTCCGAAGAGGCAGGAGGGAAGAGGAGCCGTAACCCGGTCGTCAGTTGTTTGCTCCTAGTTTCACCCTAGATCCCTCAGCCAGGGCCCCTGCCTGTTGCATCCCATCCTGCCCCATCCTGCCCCATCCTGTCCTGGCACAGGAGAGGCTTGTGCACAAGAGAGGAAGGCACAATGGCTCTTAATCTTCCCCTTGGAGGCAGGGCAGGGAGGCCTCGGGGTGGGTGAGCCCAGGGGGAAGGCAGGCAGGGCAGGCAGGCGCTGCCAAGCAGGGAGCAAACCTGCTGCTTTTAGGGTCTGGAGGCCAAGAGGCACCTGGAGGGAATTAGGCAGAAGTGTTCCCCCTCCTTGCAAACCTTTTGTACAACAAATTCTTGCGGTTACCTATTGCAATTGCTGCAAATTATACAAGCACCTCGTGCACCGTTCCTGCGGGAGCATGTAGGTGCCACAGGTCGCTCTGGTTTGACGGAGGGCATGTGTGCATGTGTGAATGTGTGTGCCTGCGTGTGCCTGCGTGCATGCACGGACCATCCTGTCTTTTTATGGCTGGGGGGATAAAAAGGCAAACAAAAGGCAGCTCCTGGCAGGGCTGTGGGGGAGGCCGGGACCCCCTGCCAGGCTTCTGGCTGTTGCTGCCGTTTGCATTTTGGGTGCCAGCGAATGGGGCAGGTGTGCAAGGAGGCTGTGACTTCACCCAGGCTACAGGCTGCGTCTGTGGCCGAGATCTCAATGTCCTGGTGATATTAATCCTCGCTCCGTCGCCTGCTGAAGGGGAAGCTGAAGGCAGCGTTTCACCAGGCATTGGTTGCAGGAGCTGCAACATTCCCTGTGACGGGGATTCCAAGTCTCCAGCCGGCCCCGCTCTGCTGAGAGTGGCCTGAAACCTCCCCGTGTCCTGTGCTGCACCGCGCCTGGGTCCTGACCTTTGCATCTGGGAGCCTGAGCCACCTGGGATGACCTCCGGCCTGGCTCTGGGCTCTGCCGCCAGGCTTGTGCCTGGGCTGGGGCTTGCTGCGGAGGTTTTACACCCAGGCTCTGAAGCCCCGGTGCAGAGCTGTGGAGGCCACCGAAGACGAGCGTGCCTTGCACAACCCCTCTGGCAGGCAATGAGGACCCCGTGGCATTAGCACCACCCATCGCTGGAGGTTTGATGCTAACGACCCTGCAAAGGAGCGGTCCCTGTGCAGCGATGCCCCAAACGGAGCTGCCAGTACGGAGACGGGGGCAGCACTGAGCCCGGGCCCCTGGCCAAGGGTGCTTATTTCCAGAGGCGTTTCAGCTGCAGCTGGTTAGGAGGCTGGTTTGGGATGGGGGGACGGGCGGAGCGGGGAGGGGCTCCTGGGCTTGGCCTGGGCATTGGCACAGAGGAGGAGGGAGGAGGGCAGGGCCAGGGGGTGGCGGGAAGAGAACAGCGGTGGTGGTGATGACAATGGCTGGAGGAACCCCAGGGGTTCCCACCAATTTCTGGCAGGGCTGGGTGTGGGGCTGCAGGGGTGGGGGGTCCTGGGCCAGGGGAACAGGCCGGCAGGGGGTCCTGGCTCTCGGGGCTGGGCGAATGCAAGGCTGACCCCTGGGAGAGGGCCGTGCTCAGGGCAGAGCGGGGGCTTGCGGGGTGTCTGCTCTTCCAAGCGTGTGTGCACGCGTGTGTATGTGTCTACATGCATGTGCACGAGTGCATGCATGCAACTGCCCATGGGCTTTGGGCTGCTCAGTCGGGAAAGGCTCTAACACGCGCACCTGCATACAGTACACGCACCTGTGTGTCCACGCGTGTGCTTCTGTGGCCCACACGCCAGAGACAGCCCGGCCCAGGAGCGAGGGAGGAGCCCGGAGGGGACGGCCACGGGGGCTCCGTGGCCAAGGGACGGGGCGCGTCCACGGGTGCTTGCACGTGCCGGTATGCCCGTGTGCAGGAACATGGGCGTGTGTCATATGGGGAGGGTGAGAGGCCACATGATAACATTGTGAGGGCAATGACATCACGACGGTACAACAGCGTGTGCATGTCTGTGTCCAGGAACGTGGGCACGTGTCATACCAGGGGTATGACATCACAAGGGCAATGACGTCACGGCAGTGTCCACAGATCTGTGCGCAGGAACCTGAGCATCTTTCCTACAGTGGGAGGGGCGGTGTGAGGCCACAGGATGACGTCACGAAGACAATGACATCACAACGGCGTGGCAGTGCGTGCATGTCTGTGTCTAGGAGCTTGGGCCCGTGTCATATGGGGGGGGTTAGAGGCCACAGGATGACATCAGAAGGGCAATGACATCACGGCAGTGTGTGCACACGTCTGTGCACGGGCACGTGTCCTACAGAGGAGGGGGGGTGAGAGGCCACAAGATGACATCATGAGGGCAATGATGTCAGGATAGTGCGGCAGTGATGACCTAGCACCCGTGCCTATGGGTGGTGAAGTGACAGGGTGACGCGCCATGCGCGAGCTATGACGCCACACGCCTCCCAGTGACGTGGCAGCGGGCCCAACATGGCGGCGCGGCCACGGCAACGCCCTCCCCTCTGGGGCGGTGCTCGGCGAGCGGGTCCTCCAAGGCGGCCAGAGCGCCTAGACTGGGGTGTGCTCTGTCTCGCCGTCTCGCTGGTGCTGCGGTAACGCCACTTCCCGGAAGCGCCGGCGGAGTA